CCAAATAAGCGAAACCGCCATCTAGTATCAAGCTCAGTTGAGTGTGATTGGTGATTACTACTGGTCAATCAACCAATCAATCAACCAGTGGAATATAGTTCTATGCAATTACGCTCGGTTTCTTGATTACCATATTTGGTGTCAAGCAGACCGCATTTTGTGGTGGTCTGAGTAACTTCGATTTCCAGAGGCAACTGTAGTGAAAATTTCCCTTTACATTTTATCATTATTAGTTAACTATACCTTTTAAATCTGCACTCAGTACAAAGAACAGGATTCTAACTTTTAACACAGATGTTAAGTCAGTCAGTCAGTCAGTCAGTGCTTTTACACGGGTCAGAAACTTGCACTGCGCTTCTCGAAAAGCATTTCGAACAGGCTACTACAGACTGTTATCAACAGCTGCCTTCTCCGCTAGCTCCATATTGAAGACCGCATGGCCAATCAGAAAGAAACAATCACAAGAAACCATGGGAACAAACCAACCAAGAACCTGTTGCTGTACCAACAAATATTCTGAAGAAAATGCAGATGGAAGTGACCGTTGAGTGACAAAACACACACCAGTCAGGTCGTCTGTCGAGTGGAATCCGAATTGGAAACGATTAGTTGGATGTGGGTCTGAGAGTGACGTGGAAGAGATCATGTGAGGAACAGATGAGAGACTATGGGTAACCGTGTGCCAGCTAAAGAGGATCACACAGAGTAGGATAAAGTGGAGATGTGCTCTTGAAGCCCTACTTTCCACTCGGAACTCAAGGGAACAATACTAATAGAAATAGAATACTTTTAAAAAACTTCACTATTTTATTATTCATAACAGGTGAAGTCTTTGATGATTATGACTAGACAAAGAATATATCAAATTTAATCATGACTGTAAAAAGGATATGTTAATCAGCGTGAGCTGCTTTTTATTCATATGAAAAAATGAATTACTTTACTTTGTTTGCCTGAACTCTAAACTACTTCACAAGCATATTAGAAATACCGGTAGATTTACAGTTACTATAAATCAAATTCACAATTTGCCATTTACAGTTGCCTCTGGAAATCGAAGTTATTCAGATCACCACAATATGTGATCCGCTTCATACCAAATATGGTAATCAAGAAACCGAGCGTAATTGCATAGAACTATATGCTAGCTTGATTGATTGATTGACTGATTGAGATGGCTGGTTGTATACCAATCACATCAACCAGTAGAAATCGCCAATCAGACTCAACTGAGCTTGATACCAGATGGCGGTTTCGCTTATTTGGGTGGAGGATCTGATCATTGGTGTGTCCGGCCGGTATGGTGTTACGTGTTCGTCCAAGTAGCTAATCAGAAGTTGAGTGGTTTGAAGTGAATCGGTTCTCTGTACACCACTGGTGGTGATTTCGACCCGACACGATCGAGATGAGAGTTCGGTGTTTAGATAACTTCGAGGTGGTTGATGTGATTGGCATACAACTACTCATTTGAATCAATCAGTAGTATATAGTTAGTTTTATGGAGATTAGGAATCACTGGATTCTCAATTAACTCAACGACTAGATAGTTAACAGCTTGCCTTGAAATCAGACAGTCTTCAGCCTAAACCACTGCACCAGTGAATGGATAATCACTTCTCAAGAGTACTGAAAAACTGAATGAAATATCTTTCTAGGTTTTCTAGTTTTTCACTACCTCTCAGATTGACATCAGCCGATTATCAAATGCAGCTCCATGTCAGTCATATCTCAAAAAATTCAACATTTGAGCCTCGCAATCACGTTAGATAAAATTATCTGTGATAGTATTATTATTATTATCATTTTCATCGAAGTGATAGTCAACACAATTCATAACATTGTTTTACCTTATTATTATTAATTCCTAGAGGAACATAGGGCTTCAGCCGTGCGTCTCCATTGCGTTCGGTTCTCTGCTAGAGTTTTCACCTGGCTCCAAGTCTGCCCACATGCTTTCATCTCCTCTTCACATGACCTCCTCCAAGTCACCCTTGCACTGACGACCAACTCGCCGCTTCCCTTTCGGGTTCCACTCGAGCAATGGCCTGTCTAGTGATGTCACTTGATGGTTTCCTCAGAGTATGGCCAATCCATCTCCATTTCTTCCTGCCTATTTGTTTCACAATCGGTTCCTGGTTGGTTTGCTCCCAGAGATCCCTGTTGCTGATCTTTTCTGGCCGGCCATCTGATCTTGAGTATTGAGCGAAGACAACTGTTAATGAAGGTCTGTAGTTTGTTTGAGATGCTCTTTATGACGCGCAGTGCAAGTCTCTGATCCGTATAGTAGCTGTGACTGACTTCACATTGGAGTTGAAAATCCGGATCTTATTTTTGATGCTGAGTGCTGTTGACCTCCACACAGACTTGAGAGTAGTGAAAGCTTGTCTTGCTTTTCCGATTCTTGCTTTGATATCCTCGTCAGTTCCGTCCGCTGTAGTTGAAACGATGCTTCCCAGGTAGGTAGGTAAAAGAGGTTGTTTCTTTCAGGTTCCTCCCATTTATGCTGATTGTTGTCTGTTGTTGTTGCTGTTGGTGGTGTTGCCCAGGAATCTTCATCACCTCTGTTTTCTCTATGTTCACCTGAAGTCCTATCTTATCTGGATGCTTCTTCTGCCAACTTGTTGCTTTTCACTTGCATATCTTCCAGTTTGTGGGAAATCAGACATATATCATCGGCGAAGTCCAGATCCTCCAAGTTTTTTGTGTGAGTCCATTTTATGCCTGTTTCTTCATTGCCCGCTGTTTGTCGCATTATCCAATCTACTGCAATCAGGAAAATCATTGGCGATAGTAGGCAGCCTTGTCTTATTATTGTTGTTGTCGCTTGTTACCCTTGTTGTTGTGAATTATTTTCCTGTGCTGGTGTTGTTCTGATTGTTTTATTCCTTGTTTTCCTTTTTTTACCTTAATGTGAATGAAAGCATCTCTGAATATAACCCCACATTGTGATATATTCACAGATATCGCGTCTGTTTAATTGAAACTAGGTGATTTACATTATTTTACCGAATAATCAAAGACGGAGATGATGAAGACAACCAGCGAGCAACAACAACAAGCACCAATCACCGCTGTCAACCGGAGAAATTTGATAAAAGGCACTTCTTCAACTAATCTACACAGCATCCTGTAAAACTACAGCCAGAATTGGAAAGGCAAAAGACACGTTCATCACTCAAGAATCAATGTGGAAATCTCCTGCACTAGGCACAAAGGAGAAAAGAACAAATTTTTCAACACCAGTGTCATGTCACTCAATTCCTCTGTATGGTTCAGGCAATTGGTGCACGCGTCACCACAAGCATTTCGAACAGGCTGCTACACACACTTGTCAACAGTCTCCTTCTCTGACTCCATACTGAAGATTAGATGGCCGTCTAGAAAGGATTAACAACAGGGAACTCAGGCAGTGCAACAAACCAACCAAGAACCTATTACTCAACGAATATGTCGAAGACAATGAGGATGGATTGGACATACGCTGAGGTGACCGTCGGGTGACATCTCGTAAGAGGCCTTCGAGTGGAAAACGAGGGGGACGACATGGAGGAGATCGTGTGAGGAGAAGCTGAGAGCTTATGGAGAAATTTGGGGCCAGGAAAAGAAGACCGCTGAGATCAAGATGAAATAGAGATGTTCTGTTGAAATTATATGTTCCACTCGGAACCCAAGGAATTTATGACAAAAATAATATAATACCACTTAGACATGATGGAGAAGATTTGTAGCTCAGGTGGATTATTTCGATGTACTTGTGTTCTCTGAGCTGGATGGTTTATTTAGGAAGCTTTCATTGCTCTACTAGGCAACATCTTCAGCGTATACTTCAATTTGAAGTGAGCCTTTAAATTTCTACACGAGTTTATAAGTCATCTCTCCCGGTGACCTTGAACGTGATTGGTTGTTTTCGCGTGTTTTCACACCTTCTAGGCTACTTGTATTGGAACTGATTGTTTCTTTAACTTGAACTTTGACCCTTTGTGTGTGAGGTTTCCTTCTTATCGGTTGAAAAATGTTGTCTGTCTCGATGTGTCTATTGATTGACGATTCACTAGAATACCAGTCTTCTAAAAAAAATTCTCTGGCATTCTTGGTGTTTCCTCTGTCTAATATTTGAACGTTGTCCTAGTCGAATTGATGTCCGTGGTTTTCTGTATGCAGCGATATGAGGGAGTGGATGTCATGTTTTTGATGGCTAGATTGTGGTCATGGATACGAAGACGAAGAGGACCTCCACTTTGTCCAATGTAGTGTTTTTTCGCAGTCATTGCAATTTATTTTGTAGGTGATGTTGGTTTCATCTTCTTTCGTTGTTGAGTCTTTTGGTTGACATAGAACCAGCTGAGTGAAGTGAAGAGTCTTGCAGTGATTTCTGAGATGTCCTTTATATATGGTAGGGCGATTTTCTTTGTGCTTTCCTTGAGGTCCTTTGGTTTGATAGGCTGACTCTGGGGCAGATGTCATTTAATGAAGTTCCGTGGATATCCATTCTTTTGGAAGACGTCCATGAGATATCTTTCTCCAATTTTCCTTAAGGTGGGAGTGCTGCAATGAGTCCTAGTTGGCTCTCTTGAATAGTGTTTGTATACAATTCCTTTTGTGTGTTATTGGAGTGTTGCTATTGTAATTCAGTATTTGGTCTACATGAACTGATTTTCTAAAAACATGAGTTTCTAATTCCCCTGTGGTTATTCGCTTGACTAAGACGTTCAAAAATGGGATTTTGTTCTCAGATTCCTCTTCTCTTGTGAATTCGATTTAGTGGAGAAATCTAAAAGCTCTCTCCATATTGAAGTATGCTCTGAAGATGTTGCCTAGTAAGTAGGGCAATGAAAGCTTCGCAAATAAACCATCCAGCCAGGTCAGAGAACACAACTACCATTTTTAACCTTTTCTCTCTCTCCGGGATTTGAACTACACAGGAAACAAGAATGATGCATAGAAAAGAAAAATCTCCTGTATTCCGTTTACAAGGTAGTTCATTCAAAATGCATACACCATTGTTTGTTGTTTTTTGACCATTGAAAAGCAACAGACTGTACTGAGTGAGGATGAATATATAATAATAATAAGATCAGTCTAAGTAATTCATTGAGAGAGGATTAAACAAAATCATAAAAATATTCTGTTGTTGAAAAACTTCAAGAAAGCATCAATAATATCAACATTATTAAGCAAAACGTTTTTGAAGTAAATTGTCACACATTGTGTTGTCCAACTAAGAAAGAGTATTAATTAAATCCTTTAGAAATTTAACTGTCTCATTCATTATAAGCAGAATATTTTCACTGGGTGATTTCTGAAAAGTAAAAAAAAGAAAACAAAAAGAAATCGGTGAAGGGTCTAAGTAAAATCGAGTTTCTAAAGTTTGTAATTACTGTATTCAAAATAACCGTTGCGATACAACCTCTAACAGCATGCATATCTGAAGACCACTCACACCAGTGGATATTACCTGCTAGTTGTGTTAAGCCATCTGAACATGCAGATGATATAGTCCTCCATGGTGAAGGCGCTGACAAAATACGGAGTCTACTGAACATCTTGAGCAGCAATCTTCGAATGTTTGGCATGCCATTCCCTCCTGTCAAATGTAAGATGATACTTGCTACAGGACTGGATTACACTGACTCCTAGCTTAAAGATAGGCAGAAGGAAAGCGGTTGGTGGAGCGTGTTGACCACTTCACTCATTTGAAGAGTTGCATCAACCAGCGCCAACAGGTTGATCGCTGACGAAATCTCATCACGGATACAGAAGGCTAGTTTGGCATTTACTTGCCAACTTACACCATCTCTGGCTTAGTAGACGTGATATCAGGCTGGCTATCGATCAAAAGACGTGTGTGCTGCTTAGCAGTCCGCTCCATCCTCCTTTATGGATGTGAAACATGGCTATTGAAAGTGGAAAACATGAAAAGTGAGGCTAGCTGTCTTTGATCATAGCTGTCTGAGTTCTATCTCATGGTGTACTAAGGTTAGCAATATTGAGGTTAGGCGTCGAGTTCTAGGTAAGGAGGGGAAATCAGTCGACGAGGTTGTGAAGTTACACCAACTGAGATGGTTAGGATGTGTGTTACGCATGCGTGGCCACCGCCTTCCTCGACCAGTGGGCAATATTAGCTGGCATAGGATTAGTCAGGTTGTAAAAAAGAGAGCTAGTTGTGATCAAACCAAAGCATGGCTTCATCAGTCAATGAAATCCACAATAGTTAGTTTGAGTCATGTCGGGAGGTGTAGACTGCTGGAGACAATATTTTTTTATTCCTTCACGTTCCCAGTGGAACATAGGGCTTCAAGCTAGAGGCTTGAAGTTTCTGTAGCATTGGTGATTATTTTTACAGGATGAGGTTGCTAGCCTCATGCCCAACCTTTCTCCTTTACCAGCTTTATTTCTGGCTTAGCGAGGTAAAGGAGTGCGTCGGCCGGGATCGAACCCCGACCATGTGCATGGTCGGCGAGCATCCTAACCACTGTGCCAATGAAGGCTGGAGACAATCAATGGCATGGCTCAAAATCGTTCTCAATGTCGCAGATGCATTCACTCTTTGTGATTTATAATATCCAATAAAATTCTATTGTTCTTCCACATTACTATTCTTTTGCCTGACATTCCTTCTCTGGCTCCATACTGAAGATCAGATGACTGACCAGAAAGGATTAACAACAAAGAACTCAGGTGATACAACAAACCAACCAAGAACCTATTGCTCAACGAATATGTCGAAGACAATAGAGATGGATCAGTCACATGCTGACACAACCTCTGAGTGACGTTATGAGTGAAGCAGGCGCTCCGGTAAACCCGAATGGGAATAGACGATTTTGGCGTGGGTTTGAGAGTGACATGTAGGAGATCGTGTGAGGAGGGGACGAAAACTTACGGATAATCGCGGAGCCAGGTAAAGAGGACTGGAGAGAACAGGACAAATGGGAGACGTGCTTTCAAATCCCTATGTTCTAATCGGAACTTAAGGGAATAATAAAAATGCACCATTGATGGTAAAACGTGATATCAGTGTCCATTTTTATTATTGGATTACTGAGCAAAATATTCAAAATAAGGCGACTACATTAGCTTCTCAAAACCATCCAGGTAACGCTGTACTTAATCTTCCCTAAAAGGTATTTTTTTAAATCAGACATTGTAACCCCACAAATAAACCAAAAATTTACTATGACAACAGTATTTGTGATATCAAAGAATAATTCATGTCACATTGTTTGATGTCTAGAGACAATCGTCAGGAAATCTTGGACCAAGATTTTGTACTTGTTTACATTTGTCAGCAAGGCGTGGATGCATACTTCTGAAGTGTCCAAAGCAAGGATGAAACAGCTAGCTATCCAGTACTCCCTGCTGGCTATTCAATGATTCTCTAACTGGTTTCAACTCGCTGTCAAACTTGTAACCAATTAAATCCTCACAAAGTAACACTTGAAAGTGTTATGAAATCAAAAAAAAAATTTTTTTAACCGATTTTATTCTAAACAGACCCAATCGCCTACTGTTTCATCACATACACTGACTGAGTACTCCACCTGTGTAGATTCATTCAAAATAATAATGAATTATACAAATTTCCAAGATGAGGCAGCAACTCATCGAAGAAGACATTGTGAAATGGTCGCGCTATGTCGTGAATTGGCAGAAGTTAGAATTCATGGGCCATTAGATCAGGTCCCAGTGGCTCAATGGTCTACGAGCTAGCTCGCCTTGTAACCAGAAGGTCCTGGGTTAGAACCCAAGTGGGTAAGTGCTGATGAAGAGTCCCCGACTAGGACGAAACAGCTATCTAGTACTCCCAGGTTTTCCAGTGGTTCTGTAACTGATGTCAACTCATGATGAAATCCTCCATCCAATGAAACAAAATCCCTACAAAACCAATACATGGAAATTTCCAAGAGTTGATTTGTTAGGATCAGATTTGTTTTTCGAGTTTGACCATGGATTGATATCAGTTAGAGAACCAATGGAAATCAGGAAGTACTGGACAGCTGTTTCATCCTACTTTGTGAATCATCGTCAGTACGCATCCACTGCCAGGGTTCGAAACTGAAAAAAACCTAGTCCTTAAAAATTAATCTGATGCTCACTAGTGGCTTGCTACAGGATGGAGTTTCCTGGATTTCTAGTGTGAAGTCGTGACCAGTGAGGTCCATCCAGTCAAGTGTGAGGATGAATTTCCCGTCGATGACAGTGGTTGGTCCCAGTCCCGATAAATCACAAATTGGATGGAGGATTTCATCATGAGCTGACATCAGTTAGAGAAGCATCAGAAAACCACCACTGGAGTACTGGACAGTTGTGTCGGCCTAGTCTGGGACTCCTCATCAGCACGCACCCACCGGGGTTCGAACCCAGGACATTCTGGTTACAAGGCGAGCTCGTAGACCATTGAGCCACTGGGACCCGATCCAATGGCCAGTCCATGAATTCTAACTTCTGCCAATTCACAACATAGCGTGACCATTTCTCAATGTCTTCTTTGATGAGTTACTGCCTCATCTTCAACCTGCTATACCCTACTGGTCACGGCTTCCCACTAGAACCCCAGGTCACTGCCTGAATAGGGCCAGTCGCTAGTCCCAAACTAGGACGAAACAGCTGTCCAGTACTCCAGTGGCGGTTTTCCGATGGTTTTCTAACTGATGTCAGCTCATGATGAAATCCTCCATCCAATCAAACTAAATCCCTACAAAACCAATACTTGAAAATCCCAAATTGGTAGAAGTTAGAATTCATGGCCAGGCCATTGAGTCGGGTGGGTCCCAGTGGCTGAATGGTATACGAGCTCGCTAGCCTTGTAACCAGAAGGTACAGGGTTCGAACTCTGGTGATAGATGCGTACTGCCGATGATTCCCAAACTAGTCTGAAGAAACAGCTATCCAGTACTCCCTGCTTGTGTTCAATATTTCTCTAACTGATATCACTCGGTGGTCAAACTCGAAGAATTATACTCAGATAAAAGAAAAGAGAATGCTATATTTGAATGCTTCTGAACCATGACAACGTCGAAACATGTGCGATAATAAGTCTTTTTCATTTTTGCGTGTGTGTGTGCTTTTTTAACCTACCACTCAGCATGTGCCTCCCCCTCCCCTTGCCTTTATTACATACACAAATACGCACAAGCACACACACACAATCTCTGTGTTTGTCACATTTAATGAAGGAAAAGAAAAGAAGTAGCAATAAGCACATATGTGACCACCACCACCAACACCAACACCCATCCCCACTGTATGATGTGGTTTGGGTATGGATATGATAAGATAAAACAAAGGAAGGCGCTTATTTTATAAATTTGTGGACCAAAATATTATTATTATTATTACTAATAATAGTAGTAGTACAAATAAAACTTTCATTAAATGATACATATTGATACATTTTGTGGTTATAACACGCTGTAAGTAAGTAAGTAGAAAAAGACACCCCATAAAATCATAATAAGAATAAGAATACAAATATAAACATTGACCATTGCTTTTATAGAGGTATCCATTTTCTTATCATATCTGTACATGTGCTCGCTCGCTCGCTTGTTTGTTTGTGTATTTGACAGGATAAAAGATTAATTGTAGAAAGTGCATTTATATATATAATCCAAATATTAGGTCATATGGACATAACATACATAAACATGCATCTTTATTGTTTTGCACAATGTATCCATCCAACAAAGTAGTTGTGTTTATCAAACAGAGCAGTGTATGACTAAAGCATCTCATTTACTGTCTGATTGACTGAATTTACATACACTTACACACACAAAAAAACAGAAATACTTGAGATAAATGAGACATATCTAACAACCGAATGTGTTTGATGTCATGGTATATGTATGTATGGACTATATATAAACACACCTATGACGGATTTTATTATCTCAGTAGTATTTTTCCTCAAAATTTAGATGAACAAAAGATAGGGTGCATACTGATGAAGAGTCCCCGACTAGGACGAAACAGCTGTCCAGTACTCCCAGGTTTTCCAGTGGTTCTCTAACTGATGTTAGCTCATGATGAAATTCTCCATACAATCAAACAAAATCCCTACAAAACCAATACTTGAAAGTTGATCTGATGCTCACTAGCGACTGACCCTATTCAGGCAGGCAGTTACCTGGATTATGTGGAGCATAAGGGTAGTAGGTTGAAGATGAGGCAGTAACTCATCAAAGAAGACATTGCGAAAGGGTCACGCTATGTCATGAATTGGCAGAAGTTAGAATTCATGGACTGGCCATTGGATCGGGTCCCAGTGGCTCAATGGTGTACGAGCTAGCCGCCTTG